TCTGTGAAGCATTGCTACTCACATGCCTGGTCCAGCCATGCCCCCTGCCAAACAGGGTATTTAAATGGGAAGTAAACATGGGGTTAAGCATTAAAGAAAATAGCCATGGAATTGCAAGCCACACTTCTTAATGATAACTGAGTAATGCTAAATAAATTTGCTTCTGCTCTCCTACAAAAACTTACAGTTTATTTAGGCCTATATTAACAGGTACGTTCTCATACATAAAGAAGAAGTATGAAACATGTTTCACACATCTGTGAATTGATCAAATATGAATACTGAACTTTGTATGATATTTGTGTGCAGTTACTTGTAATCCTAAACTAAATGCCTTAAGAAAAAAAACCTCATACTTTATAGGGACAGCTTACCAAAGTTAATATGAACATAATTGTTTCTGCTTTCAATAGAAAATGGAAGGGTATTTTTTATGAAACCTACATTAACAAGCATATTCTCAGGCAGAGCAAGGGGTGTAAAAAGTGTGTACACGTCTTGACCAAATACAAATAATGCACACGTTTAAAAAATCATTTTAGGCCTGAAGGTTACACAAAACCCCCAAACATTATGTATTTTCAAATTTTTTGTGTCACATGATATTATCGCACGAAAGTGAATTTTAGGGCATACAAACAGAATAAATCACCCACATGTTAGTAAAATATAAAAGATGAAGTTATGCTGAGTAAATAGATACCCAACATATCAAACCTTAAATGTATATGAGCCTATGAAATGGCAGCAAACTTCAGGACCCTATATTTTATATAGATGACTCTTCAAAAGCCCCTATAGGTCATCAGTTTAGCATTATGGAGGAGTTCTGGTGGTACAGTTATTGCTCTCATTTCAGCGTGTGTGGCGATATGTAACACGTGTATCAAAATAGACACTTTCATGTGTAAGCGTCCTGGTGCTTGCATTTTTTTATTTTTGTTCATACGTCCTTTTGTGGGGGGGGGGGGGGCTCAAACTTTTGGGGGGTAGTGTTATGTACTTGTGTGCACATTTATTTTTTTACAAAAAAAAAATTTTTACTTAACTTTTTTGTTCACCACATAGAGGACACAAAGTCCCCTATTTGATGAAATTTTTGTGACATGGTTTTCTATATTGAGACATGCAGGGTCTAAAAGACCCTGCATGTCTCCTCTGTGACCCATTAGATGTATTGCAATACAAACCGTGACCCGGAAGTGACATCATCTGCTCTCCTCTCTCCCCTCCACCAGCCAGCACCCACCATGGCTCTCCCCGGGCCTGCAGATGGGCAAGCAGAGCCTGGTTACATGGTGGGAGCTCACCCGCGGTGGTGGGAACTGGAACCGGGGGATGTGGAAGCGGAGCTGCCTGGCTGCTTCCACCTGACAGGCAGGCATCTGCTCAGGGGTGGACTTACCATTTGTGCACTAGGGCACTGCCCGAGGGCCCATGCTCGGTAGGGGGCCCCATGAGATGCCCCTGGTTACTTTCATTGGCTTTATCATAGGCTTTTTTGGGTTTGGGGTGAGGACGCAGGGGCCCCATAATCCCCTATTGCCCAAGGGCCCCATGAGATGCCCTTGGTACCTTTCATTGGCTTTTTCATAGGCTTTTTTCGGGCTTGGGCAAGGACACAGGGGCCCCATGATCCCCTATTGCCCGGCGGCCCCATGAGTTGTCAGTCCGCCCCTGAGTCTGCCTGTCAGTTTTATACACAATCCCGGTGGCTGCAGCCACTGGATTGTGTATAAAACCCCTTGCTGTCAGGTCCGTGTGGTGTATGGACCTGGCAACGAAAGGCTAAATTTTGTACTAAATAAGATAACTCATGTTTTATCTTCTGTTTAATATAATGACCTATACGTGTTTGAGCACTATTATCTGAAGTATATATGTTTTAAAGCTATTCTAAAACCATAATGTACATATTCTTTGTGCAAGCTGAAGTTTTTTTGTAGACTTCAAACTTGTGTAGAATTGATAATCATTTTTCAATTATCATTTTTCTTTAGAAATAAGAGTGTAATAGGTTCTTCTTTAGTCATAAGTACTATGATTATTGCATTTTTCTCAAAAAGTAGGTTATTATTAAAGGATAATTATCTTCTACTGTACCTTTTATTCAGTAGATGTGTGAAATAAATGGACAAGCATATGTTTAATGTGCTTTGCAATTTCCATTGAGGTTAGTAACCTTTTTCACAATTAATATCAAGCTCAAAAGTTTAGATATTTGTTATAAAAAATAATATAATACATCAAAGTTTAGATATCTATTATATAAAATGTTTTATAGTAGAAAAAATTATGAGATTATGGCCAAATAAGATCTGTCCTCATCAGATAGAAATGTTTGCTTATTTTAATTAACCACTGAAAGACCGCCTGCCCACAATGTACTGTGGACGGATGACAGCTACAGGCAGCACCAGTATGTCGTTCTGGCTATACCAACACAGGCAGTGCAGCGCGCCCCCCCCCCCCCCCCCCTGTCACTGTGGTAAATGGGACCCAGTGGTCATGTGATCACATGATCACAATGTCAGCAAAGCTGCTATGAATCAATCGAATTCATAAAAACTTTGTTTCTCTTCCTAGTGAGCTGTAATTGCCCCACAGCTCTCCTAAGGTACATTGTCCAGATACAGCACTCTGTACTATGTGATCGGCAATAGCCAATTACAGATTACTAGTATTTTGAACTGTCATGAACTTAACTCATCCATGACAGTTCAAAGCAAGCATTGCATTGCAGGAACAATAATCTTTATTTATCCTGCAAAGCAAAGTGTAAAAATTAAAAAATTTCTGATCGAGTCTTCTAGCCAGGGTCAGCTAGTGTTAGAATGCCACATACTATCACACTCGCGATATAGGTCGCTGATCACAATTACTAGTATAGTGTTTGTACAGATAAATATATTGATCACGAACAGAACTATATTATACCCCATAGTACAGGGTCCCCAAAAAGGCAATGTTAGCAAGATCAGACCCATTTGCTACCAGCACTAGTGTTATCCCCTCCACTGTTTTTCACAGAAGATTTGTATCAATCGACTGTGGGCCAAAGCAATTTATCTGCACAACAATACATGGCCGCCCACCCAAATTCAGCTCTTGCAAGACAATTTGCATGGAAACCTATCATGGTTTACAAATTTAAAACTTTTGTGGGCCTAACCCTCAACATGGGCATTACAACAAAGAATAAATTGCAGTCATATTGGTCCACAGACCCAATTCATCATATGCACATCAAGGACCAGTAACGTACTGTTATGTCGCTAGACTTTGAGTGGTTATACCAGGATTGGAATGGCTCCAATCATCTCTATGGTCTAAGAAACTGTAAGCAACAACCATTCATCTTTTTAGTTTTGCCGGATATAAACAGTGCCATTTTAAAATTGGAAAAGCATCTGATCACACCAATCTTGGTGTGATCAGATGCTTTAAGGGCAGAGGAGAGATCTAGATCCTAATAGACCCCAGATTTGCCTGAAAAGAGTACCTGTCAATGCCTATTGCAATCACAGAGGATATTTACATACCCTGTGATAACAATAAAAGTGATTAAAAAAATGAAAGGGACAGTGTAAAAATTTAAAAAAAGCAAAATAAATAATTTTATGAAAATCACCCCCACCCCCTCCCCGGGCCTGCATGCAAAGACAAATGAAAGTGTCACTCCTGTGGCAGTATGTAAACAGAGATTGCACCATGTGTGTGGGATATCACCCTAAATGGCAGATCAAGGGCAGTAATTCTAGCACTAGACCACAGCTTTTCATTGTGCACCTTTAAAACCTTCTAGCTGCTGGCACCCTAACAACCAATGACATCATCGCTGATAAGGAGGATGTTGAGCACAGCATTTTTGTTTGCCCCTTCCCTGCCTCTCCATCAGCACTGGGGTCATGTTAGCTGACTGAGGTAGAGAAACTAGGGAGAAGAGAAACACTGGAACACTAGTCAGTACCAATGTGCAAAGGTGTATTTGCTTTGTAAGGATAAATCACCTCTAATGTTTGGGTGTCCTAGCTACTGTAGGTGTGTGAATGATGCTGTGTTATATAAAGCAAATAATGTATTTCTTTTTACAGCTTAGAATGGGGTGCCTTTAGATTGTGCAGACTTTTAAAGGGTGTCTTGACTGAAAAAAGGTTGAGAACACTGCTCCAGTAAAACTCTGGATCCTTGCTATTTTCCTTTCAATGCATTTTTATTTAATAGTTTTGATTTTAGAAGATGCAAATGCAATTGCTATTATGTGTCCAAACAAATATTTAACAATAAACAGTAACAGTCAATGACAGTTGTGCACAGAAAAAAACATACCTGTAAATGGTGACAATGTAAATGACATGTCAAAAAAAGAGAAAACAAAAACATCAACCATATCTAGGCGATAAATCAGCATAAGGATTGGATGAAAGACTATACACCCATTGCCTAACATCTGACAACATCAAAAAAGATAATGATGTTTGAAATGCACAAAATATATAGTTGAAATCCATAGAACTAATCGAAAATTATCCCTGCGGAAGAGCCAGTGGAATCAGAAAAAAAGAAAGGTGGGGGGTGGAGCAAGAAAGGATCGAAAGGAGAACATGAAAAAAGCACTTGAGCCTGGATTATGGGGCCTCCAAAATTATAGCAAAGTGAAATTATCTATTGGTATAGCAGGGTGAGCATGTTGGATCCATGAGTCCATGTTTTAAGGAATCTCTCATGGGTATCTAAAAGAATGCTAGAGTGTTTTTCATTAACCAGGAAAGAATCTAGGTGACGATGGGTAGAGATGAGCGAAGAAATGAAAAATTTGATTCGACTGATTCGGCGAATTCGTGGACAATATTCGATTCGAGTCGAATAAATTCGCTGTGAATTTAACTTAAAAAAGGGTGTTTCTAGGCTTCAGAGAGACTTAATATTAGTGCAGAACACTGTACCTTTAATTTAAATGCCCTTGAAGTCTGCTGGGGAAGAGAAATAATACTGTCACTCAGTATGACATGCAGATGAGTGCCGTCGATCTTAGAATCACCGCACACTTCACTCATTTGGCCAGTCACGGGGCCAAAACCAGTGTTTGGAGCCACAGTGTGGCGGTGGAGGCAGCAGCAATGGGAGGCCATACAGCAACCTATGACAAAATGGAAACCAGCAGGAGTGTGAGGAGACCTGAAAGTGGCACATGGCAGAGTGGGAGCAATGGGAGGCGGTACAGGGACCCAGGTCACACTGTGGGCCCAGCAGCAGCAGCGTGACCAGGCGGTACGGGGGCCCATGGCAGATTTGGGGCCTGGCAGCACCTATGGGAGGCCTGTAACCTGCCAGCAACCTATGACAAAATGGAAAACTGCAGGAGTGTGAAGAGACCTGAATGTGGCACCCTATGTCAAAAAATTCAACACACCAGCAGTGTGTGAGGAGACCTGAAAGTGGCACATGGCAGAGTGTGGCGATGGAGACAGCAGCAATGGGAGGCCGTATAGGGACCCATGAGAGACTCTGGACTTGGCAGCAGCATGAGGAGGCGGTATATAGGGGCCCATGGCAGATTAGGGGCCTGGCAGCAGCTATGGGAGGCCCGTAATCTGCCAGCACCCTATGTCAAAAAATTGAAAACACAAGCAGTGTGAAGAGACCTGAATGTGGCACATGGCAGAGTGTGGCGATGGAGACAGCAGCAATGGGAGGCCGTACAGGGACCCATGAGAGACTCTGGACTTGGCAGCAGCATGAGGAGGCGGTATATAGGGGCCCATGGCAGATTAGGGGCCTGGCAGCAGCTATAGGAGGCCCGTAATCTGCCAGCACCCTATGTCAAAAAATTCAACACACCAGCAGTGTGTGAGGAGACCTGAAAGTGGCACATGGCAGAGTGTGGCGATGGAGACAGCAGCAATGGGAGGCCGTATAGGGACCCATGAGAGACTCTGGACTTGGCAGCAGCATGAGGAGGCGGTATATAGGGGCCCATGGCAGATTAGGGGCCTGGCAGCAGCTATGGGAGGCCCGTAATCTGCCAGCACCTTATGTCAAAAAATTGAAAACACAGCAGTGTGAAGAGACCTGAATGTGGCACATGGCAGAGTGTGGCGATGGAGACAGCAGCAATGGGAGGCCGTACAGGGACCCATGAGAGACTCTGGACCTGGCAGCAGCATGAGGAGGCGGTATATAGGGGCCTATGGCAGATTAGGGGCCTGGCAGCAGCTATGAGGCCCGTAATCTGCCAGCACCCTATGTCAAAAAATTCTACACACCAGCAGTGTGAGGAGACCTGAAAGTGGCACATGGCAGAGTGTGGCGATGGAGACAGCAGCAATGGGAGGCCGTACAGGGACCCATGAGAGACTCTGGACCTGGCAGCAGCATGAGGAGGCGGTATATAGGGGCCCATGGCAGATTAGGGGCCTGGCAGCAGCTATAGGAGGCCCGTAATCTGCCAGCACCCTATGTCAAAAAATTCAACACACCAGCAGTGTGTGAGGAGACCTGAAAGTGGCACATGGCAGAGTGTGGCGATGGAGACAGCAGCAATGGGAGGCCGTACAGGGACCCATGAGAGACTCTGGACTTGGCAGCAGCATGAGGAGGCGGTATATAGGGGCCCATGGCAGATTAGGGGCCTGGCAGCAGCTATGGGAGGCCCGTAATCTGCCAGCACCTTATGTCAAAAAATTGAAAACACAAGCAGTGTGAAGAGACCTGAATGTGGCACATGCAGAGTGTGGCGATGGAGACAGCAGCAATGGGAGGCCGTACAGGGACCCATGAGAGACTCTGGACCTGGCAGCAGCATGAGGAGGCGGTATATAGGGGCCTATGGCAGATTAGGGGCCTGGGCAGCAGCTATAGGAGGCCCGTAATCTGCCAGCACCCTATGTCCAAAAATTCTACACACCAGCAGTGTGAGGAGACCTGAAAGTGGCACATGGCAGAGTGTGGCGATGGAGACAGCAGCAATGGGAGGCCGTACAGGGACCCATGAGAGACTCTGGACCTGGCAGCAGCATGAGGAGGCGGTATATAGGGGCCCATGGCAGATTAGGGGCCTGGCAGCAGCTATAGGAGGCCCGTAATCTGCCAGCACCCTATGTCAAAAAATTCAACACACCAGCAGTGTGTGAGGAGACCTGAAAGTGGCACATGGCAGAGTGTGGCGATGGAGACAGCAGCAATGGGAGGCCGTATAGGGACCCATGAGAGACTCTGGACTTGGCAGCAGCATGAGGAGGCGGTATATAGGGGCCCATGGCAGATTAGAGGCCTGGCAGCAGCTATGGAGGCCCGTAATCTGCCAGCACCCTATGTCAAAAAATTGAAAACACCAAGCAGTGTGAAGAGACCTGAATGTGGCACATGGCAGAGTGTGGCGATGGAGACAGGAGCAATGGGAGGCCGTACAGGGACCCATGAGAGACTCTGGACCTCAAAGTGGCACATGGCAGCAGTGGGAGCAATGGGAGGCGGTATATAGGGGCCCAGGCACACTGGGGACCTGGCATCAGCGTGAACAGGCGGTACGGGGGCCCATGGCCGATTGCCAGACCTCGTTCATCCCATAGTCCTGCCGACTCACGAATAGCGTGGCCTCCTCAAAGGGCCTGAGCAAGCGCAGGTGTCACGCATGAGCTGACAATGGCTGACATCTAAGTTACACAGGGAGTACCTTTATCCGCTTTTAACATCAGGAAATCTGTGATGGCCTTTCGCTGTTCGTAAAGGCGGTCTAACATATGTAGTGTTGAATTCCACCTTGTTGCAACGTCACAGCATGAGGAGTCGGTACGGGGGCCCATGGCAGATTACGTGCCTGGCAGCAGCAATGGGAGGCCCGTAATCTGCCAGCACCCTATGTCAAAAAATTGAACACACACACAGCAGTGTGAGGAGACCTCAAAGTGGCACATGGCAGAGTGTGGGGAGCAATGGGAGGCGGTACAGGGACCCAGGTCACACTGTGGGCTCAGCAGCAGCGTGACCAGGCGGTACGGGGGCCCATGGCCGATTTTAGGGGCCTGGTGGCACCTATGGAAGGCCTGTAATCTGCCAGCAACCTATGACAAAATGGACAACCGCAGGAGTGTGAGGAGATTTCAAAGTGGCACATGGCAGAGTGGAAGCAATGGGAGGCCGTACAGGGACCCAGGTCACACTGTGGGCTCAGCAGCAGCGTGACCAGGCGTATATACGGGGGCCCATGGCCGATTTGGGGCCTGGCGGCACCTATGGAGGGCCCTGTAATCTGCCAGCACCCTATGACAAAAAATTGAACCCTGGGCTGGGGCAGGCAGAACCGCCGTATCTTTATCACGGTTTTCCCAGGCCACCGAATGGCGACGCTGCATATGCTGACGCAACAATGCTGTAGTCCCAACATGGGCCCCCTGGCCACGCTTGACTTTCTGGCCACATAGTCGACATACGGCTACGTTTACTTCCTCGGGCGGCTTGACGAAAAATTGCCACACCGCAGCAGTAGGAAACTTAATGCCTCCGCTACTCCTCACCCTGACTGCTACTTCCTCCGTGCACACCGGCACCACTACTGGCCGTGGTGGTAGGCTGCAGTGGAGCTGGTGCTCTACTCTGTGGCCGTTTGCCTCCACGATGACACTGCTGCGACCCTGCTGCCTCCTGGCAGCAGCAATGGGAGGCCGTACAGACCCATGAGAGACTCTGGACTTGGCAGCAGCATGAGGAGGCGGTATATAGGGGCCCATGGCAGATTAGGGGCCTGGCAGCAGCTATAGGAGGCCCGTAATCTGCCAGCACCCTATGTCAAAAAATTCAACACACCAGCAGTGTGAGGAGACCTGAAAGTGGCACATGGCAGAGTGTGGCGATGGAGACAGCAGCAATGGGAGGCCGTACAGGGACCCATGAGAGACTCTGGACCTGGCAGCAGCATGAGGAGGCGGTATATAGGGGCCCATGGCAGATTAGGGGCCTGGCAGCAGCTATAGGAGGCCCGTAATCTGCCAGCACCCTATGTCAAAAAATTCAACACACCAGCAGTGTGTGAGGAGACCTGAAAGTGGCACATGGCAGAGTGTGGCGATGGAGACAGCAGCAATGGGAGGCCGTATAGGGACCCATGAGAGACTCTGGACTTGGCAGCAGCATGAGGAGGCGGTATATAGGGGCCCATGGCAGATTAGGGGCCTGGCAGCAGCTATAGGAGGCCCGTAATCTGCCAGCACCCTATGTCAAAAAATTCTAACACACCAGCAGTGTGTGAGGAGACCTGAAAGTGGCACATGGCAGAGTGTGGCGATGGAGACAGCAGCAATGGGAGGCCGTACAGGGACCCATGAGAGACTCTGGACTTGGCAGCAGCATGAGGAGGCGGTATATAGGGGCCCATGGCAGATTAGGGGCCTGGCAGCAGCTATGGGAGGCCCGTAATCTGCCAGCACCCTATGTCAAAAAATTGAAAACACAAGCAGTGTGAAGAGACCTGAATGTGGCACATGGCAGAGTGTGGCGATGGAGACAGCAGCAATGGGAGGCCGTACAGGGACCCATGAGAGACTCTGGACCTGGCAGCAGCATGAGGAGGCGGTATATAGGGGCCTATGGCAGATTAGGGGCCTGGCAGCAGCTATAGGAGGCCCGTAATCTGCCAGCACCCTATGACAAAAAATGGAACACACCAGCAGTGTGTGAGGAGACCTGAAAGTGGCACATGTTTGAGGCATGATTCATGGCGGATTTAGTCAGTTGTGTCAGGAACTGGTGGTTTGAAATCCAGACTAATCCACGCCTGATTCATTTTCACAAACGTGAGTCTCTCCACACTTTGGGTGGACAGTCGTGTCCTCCGCGGAGTTACAATACCTCCTGCCGCACTAAACACGCGCTCCGATGCCACGCTACTGGCCGGGCATGACAGCCTTTCAAGGGCAAATTCAGCTAGTTGGGGCCAAAGGTCAAGTTTCGTTGCCCAGTAGTCAAGGGGATTGTCTACCTCGGTTGGCAGGGTGCTGTCCAAGTAGGCCCAAGCCTGTTGTTTGAGGTCCTGCTCCAGGTCCACCTGATGCTGCTGCTGCTGCTGCTGCTGCTGCGGCTGGTTAGTAGTTTCCTCACTGCGCTGGTGGTGAAGAAAGCTACTCATCATCGACTGCAGACTGAGGCAGCCGCTGCTGGTGGAGCTGCCACTGCTCCTACCACCCCACCCCTCCCCTGCTGCCATGGCAGCGGAACGCGAGCGCACAGGGCCCACAGTGTCTGAGGATGGACGTTGGCGCACAAAGGCAGAGACCAACTGACTACATAGGTGGTTTTTATAGTACGTTATTTTGGCCTCCCTCTCAGCAGGTGTGAAAAAGGCCACCATTTTTGAACGGTAGCGAGGGTCCAACAAGGTGGACAGCCAAAAGTCATCCCTCTGTCTGATGGTTATTATTCGGCTGTCGCTACGCAAGCAACCGAGCATGCTATGGGCCATTTGTGCCAAGGAATGCGAGGGACTCCCTGCCTCCATCTCCACAGCATACTGCCACGGTGCGTCTGGGTCCTCTGTCTCCTCCTCCTCCTCCTCTACCAGATGCTCCTGCTCCTCCACTCCTGTCCGCTGAGTGGAAAAACCACCCATTTCACTCAATAATTCCTGAGCACAAATGTCCTCCTCTACCTCCTCCTCTTCTTCCTGTCCTGCCCCCACAGGGGTCATGTGGCGTTGAGATCTGTGCGCCACGTCTACCGCACCCTGACCAGCCATTGTTAACAGCATTTGTTCCAGGACGTGCAACAGAGGAATGACGTCGTTCATCCCATAGTCCTGCCGACTCACGAATAGCGTGGCCTCCTCAAAGGGCCTGAGCAAGCGGCAGGTGTCACGCATGAGCTGCCAATGGCTGACATCGAAGTTACACAGGGGAGTACCTTTATCCGCTTGTAACATCAGGAAATCGGTGATGGCCTTTCGCTGCTCGTAAAGGCGGTCTAACATGTGTAGGGTTGAATTCCACCTTGTTGCAACGTCGCAGATCAGGCGATGATGTGGAATTCCGTTCTGCCGCTGCAGCTCAAGGAGGGTGTGCTTTGCGGTGTAGGAATGGCTGAAATGCATGCAAAGTACATTTTACGTGATGTCTTGCAGTGGGATGGTGGATTTTAGGAACCGCTTGACAACCAGATTGAACACGTGAGCCATGCATGGCATGGCACAACCTTCCTTGACGCAGAGCAGACACCATGTTCTTTCCGTTGTCGGTCAACATGGTTCCGATTTTCAGTTTGCGCGGAGACAGCCATCTGTCGATTTCTCTGTTCATTACACTCAGAAGTTCCTCCCCTGTGTGACTACGTTCGCCAAGGCATACCAGGTGCAGAACAGCGTGACACCGTTGCGCCCTGCACATGTGATATGCCGGTCGGGTAATGGGACTTGGCACGGGGGGGCGGCTGAGGACACGGCGGAAAGAAGAGGGGTAGAGGCGGACATCTTTGCCGGACCAAGGACGTGCAAACGTGGAGGCAAAAGCGGCGTGACCTGTCCAAGTTGCTGGTGCGGCTGTGACGGCACCACGTTCACCCAGTGGGCCGTAAATGACATGTACTGTCCCTGACCGTAGTTACAGCTCCACACGTCGGCGCTGCCGTGCACTTTGGCAGAGACCGACATGCTCAAAGACTGGCCCACCATGTCTTCTACATGTGAATGCAGGGCTGGCACTGCCTTTTTGGGCGAAGAAATGACGGCTTGGCACTCTCCACCGCGGCGCGGCACAAGCCATCATTTCTCTCTGAAAGGTGCTGAGTCCACCACTTGGAAAGGGAGGGACTGCAGCACCAGCAACTTGGACAGGAGGACGTTCAGCTTTTGCACCGTCGGGTGCGTGCTCGCAAACTGTTGTCTCTTGGAAACGGATTCCAAGAAAGACTGCTGACGGAATCCGTGAAGAGAGGAGTAGCAGGAGAAGGAGCATCTGAACGAGCGGAAGATGCCAACGAGCGACAACTCCCCTCAGCAGAGGTGTTGGAGCCTTGACTGGCTGATGGAGGGCGATTGACGTCGGGTGACGGAGCAAGTAACGGAGCGGGTGATGGAGCGGGGGGGCTGGGGGGGCAGAACCGCCGTATCTTTATCACGGTTTTCCAGGCCACCAAATGGCGACGCTGCATATGCTGCCGCAACGCTGTAGTCCCAACATGGGCCCCCTGGCCACGCTTGACTTTCTGGCCACATAGTCGACATACGGCTACGTTTACTTCCTCGGGCGGCTTGACGAAAAATTGCCACACCGCCGAGTAGGAAACTTTGCCCCCGATACTCCTCACTGGCTGACTGCTGCTTCCTCCGTGCACACCGGCACCACTACTGGCCGTGGTGGTAGGCTGCAGTGGAGCTGGTGCTCTACTCCGTGGCCGTTTGGCTCCACTGACACTGCTTCCACTGACACTGCTGCGACCCTGCTGCTGTCTCCTGGGCAACCCACCGACTGTTTCGCTCACTGCCAAGCTGCCACCCTCTTCTCCTGATGATGCGGAAGAAATTGCCTGATGACGACGAGGCTGCCAAGTGCGATCAACCTCCTCATCATCAAGTAGGGTCTCCGCCTCACTACTAGCCCCCCTCGGCTGCGTCTGGGTCAGGAGACAGACCTGTCTCTAGACCGGCTACCGGGCCACTCTCCTCGCCACTACTTCTTCGCCTGGCTGCTGAAAAGGCGGATGTCTCCCCCCCCGTTCCTGACCGCCCTCTGTTAGCTCTTCCTCACTGTACAGTGGGGCTGAGCCCACAGCATGCGATACTTCGCTTGGTGAGGGAACAACACCAAAGGACAGGGGCAGGTAGAGGACACGTGATTTCAGTGGGCTTGGTCCCGGGCCATGCCAACTAACGGTTGTGTCTGACGTACCCACCGACCGTTGGCTGTAGGTGTCAGAGGTGACCTGGGAAGAGGAAGACGACCGAGCCAACCAATCGATGACGGCAGGGTTGTCGGTGGAGACACGACCGCTGGATGACACCGGGAGCACTGGCCTCTGGCTGCGAATAGTGCTGCCTCGACCCCTTCCTCTGCTGCCACGTCTGCTCGCTCCTAAAACATTGCCTCCTCTGCCACTCCTCTGCATGTTGTCTGACATACTCTTTAATTCAACGATTCTGTGTCCCTGAGTAACAATTCTGTGTCCCTGAGTAACAATTCTGTGTCTGTCCCTGAGTAACAATTCTGTGGCCCTAAGTAACGGTTCTGTGTCCCTCAGTAACAATTCTGTGTCCCTCAGTCCCTGAGTCCCTGAAACAATTATGTGGCCCTAAGTAACGTTTCTGTGGCCCTCAGTAACAATTCTGTGTCCCCCTGATTAACGTTTATGTGGCCCTAAGTAACGGTTCTGTGGCCCTCAGTAACGGTTCTGTGGCCCTCAGTAACAATTCTGTGTCCCTGATTAACGTTTCTGTGGCCCTAAGTAACGGTTCTGTGGCCCTCAGTAACAATTCTGTGTCCCTGATTAACGTTTATGTGGCCCTAAGTAACGGTTCTGTGGCCCTCAGTAACAATTCTGTGTCCCTCAGTAACAATTCTGTGTCTGTCCCTGATTAACGTTTACGTGGCCCTCAAGTAACGGTTCTGTGGCCCTCAGTAACAATTCTGTGTCCCTGATTAACAATTCTGTGTCTGCCCTAAGTAACGGTTCTGTGGCCCTCAGTAACAATTCTGTGTCCCTCAAGAAACAATTCTGTGTCTGTCCGTGAGTAACAATTCTGTGGCCCTAAGTAACGGTTCTGTGGCCCTAAGTAACAATTCTGTGTCCCTGATTAACGTTTATGTGGCCCTAAGTAACGGTTCTGTGGCCCTCAGTAACAATTCTGTGTCCCTGAGTAACAATTCTGTGGCCCTAAACGTAACGGTTCTGTGGCCCTCAGTAACAATTCTGTGTCCCTCAGTAACAATTCTGTGTCTGTCCCTGATTAACGTTTACGTGGCCCTAAGTAACGGTTCTTTGGCCCTCAGTAACACAATTCTGTGTCCCTGATTAACGTTTATGTGGCCCTAAGTAACGGTTCTGTGGCCCTCAGTAAAAATTCTGTGTCCCTAAAACAATTCTGTGTCTGTCCGTGAGTAACAATTCTGTGGCCCTAAGTAACGGTTCTGTGGCCCTAAGTAACAATTCTGTGTCCCTGATTAACAATTATCTGTGGCCCTAAGTAACGGTTTCTGTGGCCCTCAGTAACAATTCTGTGGCCCTCAACAATTCTGTGTCCCTGATTAACGTTTATGTGGCCCTAAGTAACGGTTCTGTGGCCCTCAGTAACAATTCTGTGTCCCTCAGTAACAATTCTGTGTCTGTCCCTGAGTAACAATTCTGTGGCCCTAAGTAACGGTTCTGTGGCCTGTGGCCTCAGTAACAATTCTGTGTCTGTCCTCAGTAACAATTCTGTGTCTGTGGCCCTGATTAAACGTTTACGTGGCCCTAAGTAACGGTTCTGTGGCCCTCAGTAACAATTCTGTGTCCCTGATTAACGTTTCTGTGGCCCTAAGTAACGGTTCTGTGGCCCTCAGTAAAAATTCTGTGTCCCTCAAGTAACAATTCTGTGTCTGTCCCTGAGTAACAATCTGTGTGCCCTAAGTAACGGTTCTGTGGCCCTCAGTAACAATTCTGTGTCCCTGATTAACGTTTCTGTGTGGCCCTAAGTAACGGTTCTGTGGCCCTCAGTAACAATTCTGTGTCCCTGATTA